GCCTTCCGTCGTCATATTCAATGTTGTCCAGTCTGCAACAAATATAAAGTTTTTCTGTTTTTTACAATAACAATAATATTGTGAAATTAAGCCTAAATTATATAATTCTACCCGCAATAGAGAAAAAAAATCATTGAAAATGGATAATTAAAACAAATAATAATAATAAAGTATAAGAATCGAATATAATATGTATTAGGATTGAATTAAAATCATAATGAAAATATTGGTGTATAAAACATAACTTTTACCTTTAACCTCTGGCACTAGTACTTATGGAAAAAAACTTGTATAACAAATGGGCCACGTAGATCTTAGTGCACTTCCTGGTGGCTACATATCGTTTGCTGCCATCTTTTTACCAGGGTGGTATTGTAAACATTAATTTCTCAAGGCTGACGAGCACTCTAGCGTCGTCCTTTACTAAATGCTATCCAGTTAATTATTTAAATATTTTATTGCGGCTTAAGTTATCCTACTCCGAATTAAATTAAAATCGTCAGAGCTGATTTCTAGAAAGATGTACAAAGTCTTAAATCTTTTCAACTAGGTGATTTTCAAGAAAATATTGTGGTAACTTTAGAATCATGAAAGTGACAATAAGTAGATTTGTTATTACGTTAGAAAATGGAATATTGGGCAAGAGGGAGAATAATAACAAGTAGCACCTCTTCTCTGACCTATGTTTACTTCATTAAATCAGAATATCTGTCATCCAGCTCCTTTTCAGTCTCCTCCTGATGAGCATTTCAGCAGTTTTCAGTCGTTTATAAATCTGTAGTTCAATATAAAATGTAGTCAGAATGTAATTTACAATAGCATTGTTGTTAGTAACTGTGTAATTAGTATTTTGTTGAATGTAATAAACAAAAACGAATTGATGATCGAGAAATATTTTTTTATCCGTCAGTATACATACCTATGTTTTGTGTATTAAGTTTTCGCTAACTTTGAAACATATTACACAGAGACTGATACATCGGTGGAATAAGGGATTGAAAATTCAGGGTCGCAAAACGCAACTAGCTCTATTTTAGCAGACATTAAATTATTCTATTAAGATATTTAATTAAACTTAATTGACACAAACCATACCTAATGTTTATTTTATATATGATAAAAATTTATGTTATTTAGTTGATTTATTGCTAAAAAATGAATCTTCAACAATTATTTAAGCAATAAAGTGTTGTAAGTTCGCCTTACCTTTGCTTTCTTGCATTTTACAAACTCGTACGCCGTTTCACATTTATCTGCTTTCGCTATAATATTATTAATATATATTAAAAAAATATATCTTATAATTTAGATAAAATTGACTGAATATCATGAACTGTCATATACCTGTAACACCGCATTCTTCGATTGCTACCAACAACTTTGCTTTAAGCTCTTCATCTTTCACAATTTCTTCAAGAGCCTCTTTATCCTTTTGCTTATCGATAGATCCATCTGGTTTTAGCTAAATAATAGGTTATTATATTTTTATAGTTGAGAGACATTGCTTTATTGTAATGATTTTATGAGAAAATAATACTTACCACACCCTCTTTCTCAAATGTACAGGCCAACGTACACTGTAATTTTGCAGAATTAATTATAATTTGAAATTAAAATGGTTTTGTCAATATAAATAAAATTATTAATTTTTAATGATTCCAATACACATTTTAGAGTTTAGTCGAAAAAGACCTCGATAGTTATGGATACCAGGTTGCAGATATTAGTAACACTACATCCCGATTCAAATGGCCATTGCCAATGTTCTTTGATGATATTCATAAGCCCTCGTTTAATGAAAAAAATTTTGAAATTAAAAAAATATTTTACACAAAAGTTACCATAGCTTGAAACGAAAAAATTATCCCGCAATGCCTCAGGTGCCAACAATACGGCCACACTAGGTCGTACTGCAATCATTCACCACGGTGCGTCAAATGTGGACAAGGCCACGAAAGCTCCACATGTAATAAAACAAGGGAGACCCCAGCGAAATGTGCAAATTGCGAAGGCGAATAACCTGTGAACTATCGTAGGTGTCAAACTCTTCGTGATTTTAGAGCACAAAGAACTACGAGAAATCAAGTTCACCAGAGAGCATCACTTCCTTCATAGAATCTTCTGGATTTCCCGAATGTTCCACAACCTTCTAGGGATTTGCAGAATCAGAATCATCAAATGCAGAAGCAGACACAATCGGCCTCTCGCTGCACAGCAGCTGAAGTCACCTCATCAGCATCATGTTGCACAGCTGCAACTGGCAGCCCTGAAACCTCCTTCGGCAGCCATGAGAGGATGAAGTACGCAGCACACTTCAGCTGGTGTGTATATCACACCGCAACTGTTTCAGTTACTAAATTGTCTCAAAACTCTTAAATGATATAAAAATAGAAATAAAGCCTTTACTATAAAGATATTGAACTATCCAGGAGAAATTTGAAGACCATAATTCCGGGGGTTTCTTTGGAGGTGTGAGAATCTTGAAGGAAGGCTGTAAACCTCGCCTCAACTTTTGTAAGAATAAAGATGGAAACTTAGTGATGTGTATGGAAGACGTTGTTAGTAGATGGGAAGAATACTTCAGAGAAATATTTAATATGAATCACGCCTGTGATGAAAGTGCACCACTGGAAGCGGATCTTGAAGTGATCCTGAACCCGCAACGATGGAAACTGGAAGAGGATGACATCCCGCAGGACCAGAAAAATCTAAAGATGAATAAAGGCCCTGGGATGGGATTGAAGCAGAGCTGTTGAAATACGGCGGGGACAAATAATGGGACCAGCTCTTCCAGGTTATATATGATATCTGATCACAAGAAGAAATTCCTGAGGACCGGAAAGTAGCGTTTATCTGTCCCATATATAAGAAAGACGACAAGCTCTGCTGCCCTAAATACAGAGAGATATCTCTGTTGAATGTTGCATAAGGTATTGTCTACTGCCATCAACCGGAAATTTACCGCTAACATGGAATGAGAAGTTGGGGGTACCAATGTAGCTTTAGGTAAAGAAGGTCCACAATAGACCAAATATTCGCTTTGCGCCAGGTGCTGGAGAAGTCTTTGAAACGCGATATTGATCTTCATCATCTTTTTATAGACTTCAAACGTGCCTACGACTCAGTGAATCGACCAATACTGCTCAGAGATCTTCTATCCCTGAGCCTCTTGAGAAAAATTACCAGACTGGGAAGAATGACCTACAGTGTCGCAGTATGTAGGGAGTTTAAGTACCTTGGTTTCTTGATGACACATGGTAATGATATTGAGGCTGAAATTGGTGTCAAAATAGCTGCGGGAAACATATACTATTTTGCCCTTCTACGGGTACTTAAATTCCTTGGTATGTCAAGGAAGGCACGGAAAGTAGTGTACAAGACTACTTGTAATGATTCAATGGTGATACAATAAAGATTCGCCCTGTTGTTACTTACCGCAGTGAAACATGGACAATGACGGCTAAACATGAAAGAATGTTGGGAGTCTGAGAAATATCATGCGCTGGAGAGCCAGGTATTATAGGGAGCTTGCTGTACTATATGGAGAAGCAGACATTGTCACCTTCATCAAGGCGTCCGGTATAAGATGGCTGGGCAATGTCTAGAGGATGCCGGAGAGAATAAATACCAAATAAACTGTTATATCGACAAACAGGAGAAGGAAGGAGTGGCAGGCCACCACTGCGGTGGATAGATAACGTATAGGCGGATTTGAAACGACTTGATGTCATGCGGTGGAGAGCTACCACACCAGATCGAGAAGTGTGGCGAAGAATTGTGGAGGAGGATCAGGTCCCTCGTGGACCGTAGCGCCGAGGAAGAAGAAGATTATAAAGAAATTGATCATCTGGCTGTCCAAAACAGTATACGATTCAATCTAATCCTGCACTAAAAGACTATTGGATGAACGTACTTCGGTCTGTAAAGAAGGATATTGCTTGTGAACATGATTTCAACATATTCTCTCACCTTCAGCATTAAATCAACGGTGTGATTGGTAAGTAATATCGTAGTAATACTTCAGAGCAGCAGGGGTAGACTATCTCCCAAGTTTCTCTTTATTTAAACAAGATTGAATATTATATAATTTTGCCAAGATTGGCGTTCTTTTTAATCCAATTGTTTATGTGTTAGGCCGAGACATACCAAAATTTACTAGTAACCTATATTAAATATGTCCGTGAAACATTGGCAATCCTCATTCATTTAAAAAAATATATGATATCTTACTAAGAGAAGAATCTAAAGAAGATTCATTGTAAGATAAAGAAATGATGATCCAAAAAATAACGAATCATCAAACGAAAATTTTATAAAACTTTTCATCACTGTTCGAAAATTTTGAATATTTTAAACCAATCGGAATAAAGAGGTTTTAGAAATAATTCAAATCTAAGCCATAAGAAGAAAATATATTTTAACCCAAATACCTTAGCTTCTTTTGGAAATGCAGGGTCATTATAATCTGAAACGTAAAACGAGTATTAGACTACAAAACTAAAATTGAATGTAAATTTGAATTCATGAAAATACAATAGAAAGAAATATGTCTTACTCATTTTTCCTAAATCGCCATCAAAGTTATGCTCTTTCATACAAGCATCATTAATCTCCTTTAATGTCATCGACAAAATCTGGAATTAATTGAAACAATTGAAACAACTTTTTTATATCTAATTAATAAATGATTAATGTTTTTCAAAAAGAACTTATCGATCCTATAGATTTTATTTCATTAATAAAAAATCTTGTTTTAAAAACAGTTTATATTCTCCATATTATAAGCATTTAATTCGATGAGGTCTCCTTGTAAAACATTACTAGCATATTGATTAAATATAATAATTACATTAGGATCCTACAAAAAAAAGGCTGTTTATCAAACAGTTTTTCCTATCCTTGCAATTATTAATAATAAATAATTTAAAATAATTTCGTTGTATATTAAATCATTCCATTTTTTGTATATTTGGCTAATACTCGTATATGTTTTGTTTTTGTGTTTCATTTTTTCTTTTTTTTTAAACAATACCTCTCCAACATATCAAAAGAGCAAAGTCATGCAAGGTAGTAAAACTAATTTATGGTCTAATATTTGGTAAATAGCAATTAGCAACGTAGATAATACCAGTGACGATGTGATCCCGAAAATACTCCTGACTTTGGACCTAATCTGAGGACGATGGGACCTAAGCGACGATATGGAATAGAATAATAATAAATAAATAATAATAATAATAAGGCTTAGCGAACGCGAAGGTTCGATGCCGACACCACCAATCGCTTGTTACACACCTCCCTCCACCGTTCGCCGTCCAAACCCAGTCCCTTCAGATCAGCTTTAATGCAATCTTCCCACCTTCGCTTCGGTCTACCCCTCCGACGCTTACCATTCGGCACAGCAAATATTAACCTTTTAGGAATTCTCTCGTTACTAAGACCAACAACTTTACAAGCCCATTTGATTCGCCGCGATGAAATTACGTCAATTATATTACCCGGATATAGCTCACGCAATTCGGCGTTGTATAACCGTCTGAACTCTCCGGTTAACTCATCCTTCTTCGGTCCGAATATTCTACGCAATACTTTATTTTCAAAAACCTTAAGACGCTGCTCATCCCTTAATGTAAGCGGCCAAGTTTCGCATCCATAAAGAACTGTAGGCAAGATAATTGTTTTATAGATCCTAATTTTTAAGTTTCGGGACAAGAGGCGCGAACTGAGTAGTTTTGTCACAGAAAAATAACAAGCATTCCCCGCCTTCAGTCTAACTTTAATCTCTTCTTCAATTTCGTTTTTTCTAGTTATCGTAGAACCCAGATACCTAAATTTATCTACCTGTTCAAACATATTACCATCTATATCGATATCACCAGTAGTATCTCCTAGTTCTTTACCGGCTTTCATTAACGTTGTCGTATTTAGTTTTATAGTTTCAACGTCTTCGCTTAACAGTACCAGATCATCAGCATAGCCCAGCACGGATGTTGTCCCGCCCAGATCCAACCCTTTCTCGGTTCGCATTACCTCCCTAATGGCATGTTCTAATGCCAAATTGAACAGGACAGGCGAAAGAGAATCCCCCTGTTTTAAGCCCGAACGAACCTCAAATTTTTCGGACAAATTATTACCGATTCTAACTTTATTGAGTGTCTCCGTCAAGCACATCCTGACTAGATTTACTAGTTTTTTTGGAATTCCCTGCTCGATTAGAATATTATACAGTTTCTGGCGGTCAATAGAATCGTAAGCCTTTTTAAAATCTATATACAGCTGGTGAACAATACCGTTATACTCCAATTTTTTCTCTAATATTTGCCGTAAAGAAAATATTTGATCAATAGTCGAACGATTCCGTCTAAATCCGCATTGGTAGTCTCCGATAATTTCCTCGGCGTATTCCGTGATTCGACTGGTTAAGATTACAGTGAATATTTTATAACATACCGGAAGGAGTGAAATTCCTCGATAGTTATTACAATCCGTCCTCGGACCCTTTTTGTGAATCGGAATAAGAATAGATTCTTTCCATTCTTCAGGTAATTTCTCGTTCACCCAGATCTTTTCAACCAACCGATGTATTTTAGAAACTCCAGCTTCCCCGCATGCCTTAATTAGTTCAGTAGGAATATTATCGATTCCCGCTGCTTTATATGATTTTAATTTACCGATAGCTACTTCAACTTCCTCTTTACTTGGTCCTTCTATCAACGGTTCAGCACTCTGGTACTCAGAAGGAGGACACAGATCATAATTTCCCGTATTTAAAATATTGTCAAAGTGGTCCTTAAACTTATTCAATATGTCAACCGGATCGGTCAGAATATTGTTATTATCATCCCTAATTCCAGACGTTACGGGCCCTACATATTTACGTGATCTGTTTATACCTTTGTACATGTCTCTTACGTTATTTTCGATTCTATTAGTTTCTATTTCAATTATTTTATTTTTAAGATACTCCCTTTTTTTATTTTTGAGCAATTTTGTCGTTTCGTTCTTTGAGATTCGGAAGTATTCCAGATTGTCTTCGCTAGGATTATTTAGAGCTTTTAATTTAGCGGCTTTCCTTTTTTCGCACATGTTTAAGCAATCTTCATCAAACCACGGTTTGTTATTCTTATTTTCCTTTTTTCCTAGACACGAGTTACCGACCGCTTTAATATTATCCCTGATCTCTACCCATAACTTGTCAATATCCTCGTGGTCCTCGTCAGGAAGCTCTAAAGCTTCAAACCTATTCTTAACATCTAGCTCGAATTGGTTTCTAATTGATGGATTTTTTAATTTTTCCAAATTAAAATTCTCAAAATCGAAACGGTTTTCTTTTCTCTTTTTTATATTAAGTTTTTGTCGAAGTTTCGCGATTACTAATTCATGATCCGACCCACATTCTGCTCCGCGATAAGACCGTACATTGATTATACTGCTTTGCCAGCTGTGTTGTATCAAGACATGATCGATTTGATTTCGTGTTTGCGAATCCGGCGATGTCCAAGTATATTTATGAATATCCTTACGTTTAAACGTCGTACTTTTAATTACCAGGTTTTTCGAGATGGCAAAGTTTATCAGACGGATCCCATTATCATTACTATATTCGTGCAAACTTTCTTTACCAATCGTCTGAATATAAACTTCTTCCCTTCCTACCTTTGCGTTCGCGTCACCTACAATTATTTTCATGTAGTTTCGCGGTAGTTTATCATAAACCCATTCGAGTTTATCGTAAAATTCACTTTTGACTTCATCGTCACTGTCTTCGGTCGGACAATGTATGTTTATTAATGCGATTTTAAACCAACGTCCCTGAAATGTAGCTACCGAAATTCTATCACTAAAGAATTGTACGTCCCTCAAAGCGGATAGTAATCTACTCCTAATTAGAAACCCGGTACCTAAACAATGATTCCCGCTTCCTCCGTACCAAATAGTGTACTTTCCTTCCCTCATCGAGCCCTCCCCTGGCCAGCGAACCTCTTGCAGAGCCACGACATCCAAATTGTACCCATTTACCTCATTCGCGACCGATTTTAGCCCCCTGCTGTGTTTAAACTCCTTACGTTCCACGTACCAATATTTAAATCCCTATATTTCAACTTGCGGCATGAATCCCCTAAAGCAGTCCCCACCCGGAGACCCGAACGGGGGACTAGTTTACCTCCGGATAATGAGCGTTTTACCTTAGGGAGATCCATGACTTTTTGTGGTGTTTGGTGAACTAAAGATATGTGAGTAGGGCGTTCAATCCTACGTCACACCCTCCAGCAAGTCTGGTGGGCCCCTACCTCCAGCAAGTCTGGAGGTCCCCTCCCTCCAGCAAGTCTGGAGGGCCCCTCTCATTGTTGGTCAGCGAGTCCATCGGACTTAGCCGGGAGGAACTTCCAAGGAATTTCCACCGACCATCCCCACATCCGCCACCCGTGGGACGCTCCCCATACGCGGTAATGAGCCCGCGCGAGGAATAGACGGAATAGAAAAGAAAACTTGTTTTACTAATTTTTATTAAATAATTCTGGATAATTATCATAAATAATTATCCAGTGGCATCTCTAATAAATTACACCCCAAAACATAATGGAATAGAATAGAAAAGAAAAATTGTTTTACTAATTTTTATTAAATAATTCTGGATAATTATCATAAATAATTATCCAGTGGCATCCCGAATAAATTACACCCCAAAACATAGCAATATATATATATATATGTATATGTTATAACCTGCTTAGGAGTCATACCTTAGTGAAATATCATCGGCAATCATTTCTGTTTTTCGCTCTGACCCTTCAATTTATCAGTGCACGCACTGAATTTATGTATATTCAGTATGTTTTGAATACAATACATGTACGTCTCAACACCAATATATGTATATTCAGTGCGTGCACAGCGATAAATTGAAGGGTCAGAGCGAAAAACAGAAATGATTGCCGATGATATTTCACTAAAGTATGACTCATAAGCAGATCATAACGTCATATTAGATAGAGAAATGTATTGTTTCAACACAAACATATTTTATAATTTTACGTGTCAATTCAATATTTAAATATTTTTAACTTACAGGATGTGCTGTGCACACTACAGCAAGTAAAATGAAGTATGAACACTGCATGTTTGCAAGAACCTGTGTTGTCGATACGTCTTAATGCCAGTAGAGAATGAATACTGACTGAGAAGCTTTGGATCCAACTATATATACGTATATTTGGCACAATGGTGAGGATGTGAATCATTTATCCATTGTCAAAACGTAACACAGTATCTAATTAGTACAAAATTTATTTAAAATACAAAAGGCTTAATAGCTTATTTGTTACTATTGGGTACGGAAATTGCATAATATTTTCGTTATAGATTTAGCTACACAAAGGAGAAGAAAATATTTTACCATATTACAATTTTCCATGTTAGCAGATTGTTAATAATTTAGAGCTCAGGTACGAATTAATTTTTTATCTGAAATTCAATATTACTATCAAATTGGAAGTTTATTTTGCAGGCAGAGTCATATTACACTATTTTCATTTATAAATAATTTCTTTATACTATTTTCATTTATACATATTTTTCTTTATTAATTTAAAAATTTTGTATAATTAAAATATATATATATATATATATATATATATATATATATATATATATATATATATATATATATATATATATACATTTTTCTTTGAAAATTGGAAATTGACATCCTTTTATAATAAATTTGTTTATTCGAAGATATAGATCCCAATCTTTAAATATTAACACATATAACTGATAGTGTTTTTCATACGTCCTAAAACATCTTCATTGTTTAATAAGGTAGGTTAAGTACGATATTTAAATGAAGTTCAATAGGTTTTTACTTTCCTACCTATACTAGGTAAGGAAAGTATTGCAATCGGGTCGAATTTCTGATAGGCGGTTTTTGATGGATCTATGGAACTTTCCTATAATGAGCTAATAATTGTCCTTTCAATTATCGTATATAAACTAAGTTCCTGAAAAAATTCAGAAAAAATGTTATTGAGCCTGTAATGTTATATGTTATATCATGAATGTTATATCATACGGTAAAATTTATTTAAAGGTAATTAGATCACCAACAAAACAAACGAAAAAACCGTCGGAATCTAACCAGTATTAGCGTTTATACAGCTTATTCTATTTTTTACACATGTTTTAACTTATTACTTTCCTACCTTTACTAGGTAAGGAAAGTATTGCAATCGGGTCAAATTTCCGGTATAAATTTCAGAGCCCCCTGAATACAAAAAAAAAGTAATGAAATTCCCTACAAAGCCATATAAAAATCGTTAATTTTGGACAACTATTAACGAAACTATTCAATTTCCAATGTAAGATTACGGTTCCATATCCTGGTGTCAGAAAGGGGTGAATGAGAGAATAAAAATGACTAAGTGAAAGTTAGTATTGCCCAAATGCAAGACTTGGCTCGTCTTGGTCTTGGTCTTGCAGTGTTCACATCTGGTCTTGGTCTTGGTATTGGTCTTGCACATTCAGACTTGGTCATGGGCTTGCAGCAAGAGTCTCGCAAGTCTTGCAACAAGAGTCTCGCAAGTCTTGCAGCAAGAGTCTCGCAAGTCTTGCAATTACCTATTAGCCTATTGCTATTTATTAAACATGTTAATTTATGCCTTAGAACGACACAAAAGAATAGATACACTGGAGTCTATCTTTTGACCTATACATAACAAAGTTCAACCAAATTTACTTGAATATACATACTTTAAAGACATTTTCAAGATAGATAGTAATAGACCCTCACCTTAGATGGAATGTAGGGGTTGTGGTATAAATACATTAAATATAATGTTAGCATTTATTGAAATAAAAAATTGAATACAAATTTAGTGTTTAGAGTTTATTTAAACAATAATAACGATTTGGTCCGACCAGATGGAAACGTCTATCGGTCGGTACTATTGAACATAAGTAAATCAGTTTTAAACAGTGACATATTTTTATTTAACAAAAGTTATAGTTTGGATTGTGTGAGTTTGTGTAGGTTCTTGCGTGGTTGCGCGCGCGCGTGTGTGAGTGTGTTTTGTTGAAATACTAATTTACCAGAATCACTTTGATTTCTTTTCACAGAGCTGAAAAGTAACTAACAATAAACATATCTATATATAAGTGGTGTCAAGAAATTTAAATATATTATAAATTTACTCTTCAACAGTACTAGATAAATACAAAACCATGATCTACGGGGTCCTCAGAGGAGACCCCCCAATCATTCTATGGCAATAAAAAAAGTACAAAACATTTATGTTGGGGAGCATCAGAGGGACCTTTAAAATATACGGATATTAAAAACAAAACAATTATTTTTTGGATACTGGAAAAATATAAAACAATGTTTTTTTATAAATAATGTTAGCCCCCTTCGAGGACCCACGGCAATCGCCGACTGGCCGACTTAGCCAGCGTACAAACTAAGAAATATTTTAATTAGGAAACATATACTGATCTATTATCATTGCTTAAAATTAGTTTAATAATATTAAAATATGACCACTTGTTTTTTGTATGTTAATAAATAATGTATTCAAATGATCTGAAAATCGAATGCGAACATTCCACAATTTAAGTAAGTTAAAAGGATATATACCATATTTCAAATAAAAGTATAATTTTTAAAAATTTTATTATTAAAAATTGTAGCTACATGAAATCAACAACTGTGAAATAAATAATTAAATTTATTTAAATTAAAATAAAACAATATTAGCATACAATTAAATATTCAAATAATATTATTTGTTATTTTATCAGAAAAATAAAAATATTTTTATATTTATGAAATATATAATTATAAGACTTATAGAATTATTGAAGGAAGTTAGTCAACTGTTCTACATATCATGTATCATTCAGGACGCAGTCATTATTAAAAAGTTTTATTTGTGCCGACGTTTCAAGCCAAACATGTAGGTCATCATCAAGTACTCCGGAGTACTTGAAAGCCTCTAGTGCTCGAACCACGCTCTGATGAAGACCCACATGTTTGGATTGATACATGGGCACAAATAAAAAAATTATGTAATTATTGCGTCCTGAATATTTATCACTTACAAGACTTAAAATTACATATTTATAATAAGAAGGATTTTCATAAATCATTCCGTTCCGGTTCGTAATGTAAACTTATTTTATTCTGTGAAAAGTAGGCAATCTTTGTCATGAAAGCGGCGGCCATACAGCAAAGTAAATCCTGTAATACACTTGTCGCACAGACTTTTGATAAAGCCAGGTCTTTGTCGGTCTTATCAAATAAGTCAACAGCGATCGATGGCGATATAATATAACATACGTTCTCGGAGATTTAATAATTAGGAGGAACCTTATTCACTTTATTTCAAAATGTAAACAAGGAGGATTGTCCATTTCATGTATTCTTGCAAACTATAAAGCATTAAATAAGATAATCAAATGAAACCCCGTGGGTGAACAGGAAATCTTTCTTGTCTTTCTTGGAATCAAAGTAGGAAATTAACCACTTTCTCTGCCGCAATACCTAAATGTTTTGTTTTTTCGTCTAAGATATTACTTACTAATGTTTTCTAGACAATTATCTGGCTTTTTCAAGAGAATTTTAATTTTTCTTCATTAAATTGATGATGATAATAATTATAATAATAATAAAAGACTGAGTGAACCCAAAGGTTCGATACCGATTCCTTCCTTAAATTCATAAAATTAGATATTTAGTTTAGCGTAAATGGGTTATATAATCAACTGAATGAAATTCTGAATGAAGACACAAGAATAGATCTTTTTTTATGATAAATTACAAAATAGATTTGCTTTAGAGCAAAACCGCAAAAAGATCTTCTAGCATTTCTAGTAAAACTTTTAGAATTTCTAGGTTATAGTATTTTAACTAATTTCATATTCATTTGACATTTTACATTTGAACTTTTTTTACTGCATAAAAATCGGGCTCTGGTCATCATATTGGCTGGCACAAAAACTGTTACTATGCTAGATCTAGAATGATAAATTTGAACTTTGCTGTGTAGACTATCATATTTCAAAACATAAATACATATGTTTATATAATTCAAAATTACAGGACGAAGTTAGTAGGTGTACCTGCGGGAATTCCACATAATCATTTGATAAGTCGTAACTGATGTAATATTACCATTGGAGGCCGGATTCTTCATGAACATATGTATAGATATAAAAACGTTTCTGAAATAGGTAGGAAAGTTGTGTGATTGGACACACCAGATATTTTGTTTTTTTTGTCTTCTACGTGGTCTTACGTTGTTTTAAACAGGTTTTCTGGTGGATTGCTCTGTGACACTTAGCCTTCTTGCCTTTATATCGTGAGATACAAAGTTGACCAGATTCTGTTGACAGCTTATTATTGGACTTTATCCTCAATTTTTTAGTACTCTAATCCCAGCTCACTCCGGTTATCTTGCGGAGAATGGTTCCCTCAACTCTTTAAATACCTTAAGGTTGCGGAATAGTGTTATGCTTTAATATTTAGTATAGTTCCGTTATATCAGTAAGGATAAATATGCAAGCGTAAAATGTTATATCCAATCATTGATTGAAGTTTCTTTTCATTTTTCGTGATTTCAGTTTTTCTGTACAAGATAAGAAAGATCTGTTTGCGCTACATTAAGAAATAGAAAATTACTACAATACCATTTTTTGAACAGAAAAAATAAAAGAATAAATTTTTTAAAAAATCTCTGACAGAAAAAAAATGACTTTAACTTTTAAAATGCATAACTTTCCTGTTTATATAATTTTAATGTCTATACTATAATGAAAAGTATCGTCTGAATATGTTATGATATTAAATATTGCATTTTAAAGAGAAGTCGTCTATCCACTAAGTGATAGAGTCTTTATGGCTTTCTTGTTTGAATGGTTAAATTTCCAATGTTTGTTTCTGTAGTTTTGTTTATATTAGTAATATTATACACAATATCAAATATTGTGAGAGTCCACCCAGTGGTCGAAATTCGCCCATAATAATTATTGAACATTTAAAGTAAACTTGGATGAATTTGCACATTTCCAGTCTTTTTTTTTTCTACTCTTCTATATTCGTACATTCACTTTAATATGTATTAACAAGATAAAACAGTGCAGTAAAATCTCGTTACTTTTTGAGTTATAAGCAGATAAAATGTAAGTCCATCGTAACTTTTTTTATAAAAATATTTGAAGTCGGTATCCTTACTCAGTGAAATTTTCAAAAAATTGTTTTTTTCAATCACTTTGAAAATTCATATTTGGTGTTTTTCCTGGGACAAACCGCCAATCTCAATGTTGTTTCTCCATCAAGAAATATTTTAAACCACTTTGCTCCTTCGGTTGGTAAAAATCGTTTTATTACAATATTGTAGTTATATTATAGCTAAATTTTAAAGCTATATTAGTCACAATTGGGCTCTTCTAAAATATATAAACAGAAAAAAAAAGCAATAAAATATCTTATTGGACATGATTCTTTTCGATTTCGATGATTTATTTTCAATTAGTTGGGAATTTAGGAATCTATTAAATAATAACAGGTTTAAAATATCTGCGCCAAATCATCCGATTTAGATTTTTTATTTTGTTTGACATTTTGTGGAGAATTAAGGAAACTTTTAGATTAATGTATTATTCATAAAAACTTGTGTACTTTTTGAGTTGTTCTCAAATAAATTTCTGAATACATCATAACAATGTTTCCAGCTTGTTTTGATGATAGTTTGTAATTTAAATTAATTATATAGGCTAAGGAGGAAAACTATAGCTAAGTTTCATATAAAGCGTTACAGAATTTTGGTGCTTAAGTCCATATATACCATGGTATATACCATATACAGTCTAGTCGGTTATATATCATGATCATAAGTAGATAGGTACATGCTATATCAAGAAAATAATATTGCAAGAATAAAGGATTTATAGACAACTACAATATTTTCAACATGAAATTAATATTTATTGTTAAATATTAAAAAGAATGTATATTCGATATATTTATGTACATCATATATATTTCTATATTTATATATTATACTACATATAAGTGGGAATAATCTGATTAAATAAATTAGCCTTTCTTCTTCATATTCAATGCTTTCCAGCCTGCAACAAACATAAATGTTTTTTTTCACAATTATAATAATATTGTGTGATTAAGCCTAAGATATATAATGCTTTCTATAGAGAAAAACCAAAAATTCAGATGAAATAATCATTTAAAAATTAATAATTAAAACAAAAAATAAAATATGAGAATTGAATCTAATATGCGTTAGGATTGAATTTAAAATTCATTGAAAAAAGTTGGTGCATATTACATAACTTTTACTTACAAACTTTCGTACTTGTACTTGTGGAAGAGACTAGTTTTGCAAGTGGGCCTCGCAATTCATATTTTCATTTTCTGATGGCTGCATACAAGTCTAATTTTTAGCGGAGTGATAGTATAAAGATTAATTTCTCAATTCCGCCAAGAAATAAAAATTAAATAAACCAGGTAGGAATCGATTCTACGATTTGGAACTTAGCACTCTAGGTAGGGTCGTCGCCCTATCATCCTCGGCCATGGCTTCCCATCTTACTTAAATAATTAAATGTCTGTTCAAAGAATTTAACTGCGAGACTCTAAGGTATTTTGCTAAATGAAACTATCCACATCATGCTTTGAGTTAAGTTAACCAAAGTTATCATGTTTTTAAAAGCTAATTTTATATCACATTTTATTATACACATTACATTGCTGTTATATCAATTAATTGATCTAAAATTAACATGATAGCGGTTGAGTTCTTTTTTTTTTTTTTTTCAATGGAAGGAATTTCCAACACATATTTTTTACTTCGATATTCTATTATACTCTGGAAATAAATCTTATCTAAATAAACCTTAACCAAAAAAACTAAGTTATACAGACCTGTCTCATCCAAAATCATATCTAATGTATTTCGGCATAATTTTAAATTTGGCCATCTATTACTATGTGCCTTCTAATTACTTATTTAAATATATTATTGGGACAACGTTATTATACATCGAATTTAAGTAAAAAATAGTTGGAGCTGTTTTCGAGAACATTAAATGTCGTTACAAAATTGATTAAACAAAGTGCTACATCTTTTCGACTAGATGATTTTCACGAAAACCTTGCTGTAACATTACATTTGTAAAAGTGACAATATGCAGTTATGTTATTCCGTTAGAAAATGATAATAGTATTCTGCCACTCTTCTCCTTTGATCTATGTTTACTTCTTTAATTCAGGTTATTTTATTTTTTTATTGTATATAGTTTTTATGTATTATTATTTAGTTTTTTTTTGTATGTACGGTGTGAATATGTTCATTTGTCAATATAATTATTGTCCCAGTGACAGAATATTATATGTCTTAATAAATAAATAAAAAAAAATCAGGAGATCTCTCATCCAGCTTCTTTTCAGTCACATCTTATTGAGCATGTCAGCATTGACCATGTTGTTTATAGGTCTGTTGTCGTGACCTTGTAGTTTAATATGAAATCAGAAGAAAAAAGTACGTATATGATGACGATAGTTGGATGTCTTAAATCGGTATGTAAACTTTTGTCGTTTTCGTACAAGGGAGCTGCTGTTTTTAATTCAAAAATTTTATATTGAAAAGCTTGTAGTTTTTCCATGTGAATATTTTAGTTGAACTGTAAATCTGTGAGACATAAGTCGAAATGATTTTAAGTAGTATATGTATTTAATTTTTGAATAATTTTCAATTTTAATTTGGAAAATTTTAATATAGTGCTATCGGTTTATTGTTTTCAGTTATTTTCAGTTCATATTAAGAACTAGATCCCAGGTCCATGAACAACATCTTTCTGTCGAAAAATCAATAAAAAGGAGAGACTGGAGAGTGAGATTGTATGTGAGAGTTAGAACAGTTTTGAGGTTAAAGAGAATTCTCCGTTCCAGACCATATCAAATGCCATGGCAACATCTAAAAACATGGCGGGGGATGTTGTTATGGTCTAGTTCTTCAACACTGGAGTTAGTAATTACGTATAATCAGAATGTTGTTGAATGTAATGAACGAAAACCGAATTGATCGTTGGGAATTATTTTTTGATTCGTCAGAGTCTCAACCAATCTTTTTTATATCAATTTTTTGAAAACATTGAAAAATATTCCAAAGCGACTGATAGATTGGTAGGATGAGAGATTCAAAATGACATTGTCTTTGTTGATTTGAAATGTGGATTCTGAATGCAATACGGAACTAGCTATTTTAGTAAATATGAAATTATTCTATTAAGATATTAAATCAAAGTTGTTTGATGCACACACCATACAGAATTTTTAATGTATATATGAATATTGCACTGGTGCCTTTCTGGACGTAGCTCAAGCTTTCGACCGGGTGTGGCACGATGGCTTGCTTTTCAAGCTCAAAACCCATTTACCTCAACCCTTGTATCTAGTCCTCAAATCCTACCTTTCAAATCGCTCCTTTCAAGTCCGCTGCGGCACTGAACTCTCCAAACATTATCCAATTGAGGCTGGTGTCCCACAAGGCAGTGTCTTGGGCCCAGTTCTCTACATCCTTTTTACCGCTGACATCCCTTCAAGTCCTGATACCTTCCTAGCAACATTTGCTGATGATACTGCCATCCTATCCTCCCACTCGGATCCTCTAATTGCGTCCCGGAACCTGCAAAGACACCTCTCCTTCATTGAGCAGTGGTGCAACAACTGGCGCATCAAAATTAATGAATCAAAATGTAAACATGTAACTTTCACTCTTCGACGCAGATCCTGTCCTCCAATCCTTTTTAATTCAATTCCTCTTCCCTACTCAGACACAGTCCGATACCTTGGCTTCCTTCTGGACAAAAGGCTGACTTGGAACCCACATACGAGACTTAAAAGACAAGAGCTTAACCGACGATTTGGTCAGCTATATAGACTACTAAACAGAACATCTCATCTCTCAACAGAAAACAAATTATTAATCTACAAGACCATACTGAAACCTATCTGGACCTACGGACTTGAGCTGTGGGGGACAACTAAATCATCGAATATCAAACGCATCCAATCCTTCCAGTCTAAAGTCCTTCGAACAATAGTCAATGCTCCATATTATGTCACGAACAAGACCCTACACCATGACCTTAACATCCCATATGTCCACGACATCATCCCATCCAGATTCTCCAACTTTCACCAGAACCTCATACATCATCCCAATCCTCTAGCCCAATCCCTATCCAGCTCCGAGCATCTATACCATCCCCCTCGAAGGTTGAAACGGCAGTGGCCTCGAGATCTTTTGTAAATATGCCTTTGGAGTCCTGGCAATGGCCAGCTTCTCCACTCATGTCCTGAGCGTCTGTGGCTCTAGTGCCCTCTTCCAGTCTCCACTGGCTTCTAATACTAGTGATGCGGCTGGAAAAGTGGCGCTGGGATCTTCCGGAGTCTTGCTTTGCCTTCCACGTGTGGGGGAAAAAGCCTGGTTCGGAGATTCTTGGGCGAATGTATATATTGTATATAGTTATGATTGTGTTTAGAAGTTTTTATTTTATTTTATTTGTTTATTATTATTATTTTTTCTTTTCTTTTTATTTATCTTCTTCATCAGTATTATTTATTTACTTCTTATATTTATATTTATTTCTTTATTATTTGTATATATTGTATGAATGAGAACTTTTAGCCCTAATGCTTATAGCCCTCCAGCAGTGGCTGCATGTATTATTATTCAATAAATAGATTAAAAAAAAAAAAAAAAAAAAAAAATGTATATATGACAAAAAAATTATTTTATTTATTTAATTCATTGGTATAAAAGATCGCCTTACCTTCGCTTTCTTGCATTTTACAAAATCATAAGCCGCTTCACATTTATCTGCTTTCTCTGAAATATTAAAAATATATATTTCAAAATAATATTCCTGATATTTCAGAAAAAGTTGACTTCATATCATGGACATAAATGAAATATACCTTTAACATCGCATTCTTCGATTGCTACCAACAACTTTGCTTTGAGCTCGTCATCTTTCACTATTTCTTCAAGAGCCTCTTTATCCTTTTGTTTATCGATGGATCCATCTGCCTTTATCTAAACAATAGGTTATTTTATTTTTATGCTTGAGAGACATTTCTTTATTTAATGTAATGATGTTGTGAGAAAATAATACTTACCACACCTTTTTTCTCTAGTGAACAGGCCAATGTACACTGTAATTTTACAGAAATAATTATAATTTGAATCTAAAAGTGTTTTATAAATATAAAAAAGATCATAAATGTTTAAAGATTCCAATACACATTTGTGTGTAATATTAATTAAACGAATCAGATAAACAAATTTTACAATTCTTCTGAGATAATCTTGATAGTTATCTAGGAAATAAATAAATAAATTTCTTCGAATGGATTTTAAAAAATAAACAAAATAATAAATAAAACAAAGTAAATAAGAATTAACAAACAAAATATGAAATAATAATAAGTAGAAGTAAAGCAAGTATACTGAATAAGTAATATATATATTGTGTGTGTATGTATGACCAAAAATTAAAGAGCATCTATAAATTAATAATGGTTAAAAAATCTGTAGATACAATTGTCAAGTAACTTATATTATCTATTTTTGTAAAGCTTTGGCAATCCTTATTCATTAAAAAAAATATGATCTCTTATGCAGTAGAAGAACCTAAAGGGAGATTAATTTTAATGAATTTATATGTTGTTAACTTTAAGTTAGTTGAGAGATTATACAAACAATAATATAAAGAAATTTATCATCTGGCTGTACAAAACTTCATTCAATCGTGCTTCTCTGTTGTTATTTTTGTAATATAATTTCTCAAGAACAGTGTACTCTCCGATCCAATATAATTCTGCATGAAAGGACTCATGGATGAAGTTAGTCGCAATACATATTCATTAAAAAAATATATGACCTCTTATTTAGAATAGAAACCTGAGGAAGATTCATTATAAGGTAAAGAAACCTTGTTTGAAATTATTAGAAGAAAAAAAACGAATTATCATATAAAATTTGTTATAATGATTTCTAAGTTTTGAATATTATAAACAAGTCTCAATGAAGAGGAGTTATAAATAATTCAAATCAAAGCCTTAAAATAAAAGTATATTTTAATCCGAATACCTTGGCTTCTTTTGGAAATGTAGGATCGTTATAATCTGAAACGTAAAATGAATATTAGATTAGAAAACTTGAAATGAAGATCATTTTGAATTTATAAAAATAGAAATGAAAGAAATATGTCTTACCAATTTTGTCTAAATCACCATCAAAGTTATTTTCTTTCTTACAAGCGTCATTAATCTCCTTTAATGACATTGAAAAAACCTGGAAGTAAAAGTTAAAATATCTTTATTTTATTTAATCAATAAATCATTAATGTTTTACAAAAATACCTCATCAAATCCACAATTTTATTTCATTAATAAAAAATTCTGTAAACATGAAACTTTATTTCCTCCATATTACAACGTTTAGCATTTGATGCGATGAAGTCAATTTGTAAAACATTATTTTTTCTTTTATTGAGGCTTGATGTTACAGAATTGAAATTTAATTTAATAAAAATTGGGGCTCCACTAAACCATCGAATTCCTCTCGCATCCAATCCTTACAATCCAAAATCCTTCGTAAAATCCTCAATGCTCCTTACTTTGTCACTAATAAAGTAATCCATAAAGACCTCAATGTTCCATATGTTTCCGATTTGGCCAAATCCAGATACCTATCCTTCCATAATAAACTTCATAACCATCCGAATCCTCTTGTTTCTAACTTTGCTTCCTCTTCAATTCCTGATAACCCTCCGAGGCGTCTGATAAGAAAATGGCATCGTGATCTTCTCATGTAGACAAATTATTAGAATGCTACCAGTGGGTAGTTTCTCAACAAGCGTGTTTCATGTAATAATATTTCTCTGTACAAATTTACTTGATGTATTCATACTAATACAGTTGTAAATATCATAATAAAAGTTTAAAAAAAAATTAATAAAAAAGACGCTGTCTTTTGCGCAAACGGTTTCGGTCTTTTATGAGACCTTCATCAGGAGGACTAGAAATAATAATAAAATTATTGACTAGATGTGCTATTACTACCCTCTCGTCTTGTTTTCATTAGTCGTAAGTAATTTTATGAAGGCAGAATCCTCAAATTGAGTACTTTGCACATTCAGGCATCTTAAGTCAGTTTTTATAATTCTTTTTCCTTTTGAAATAGTGTTGAACATGTTTACCTTATTACTTTTTTATGGGTGTGAACAATTTAAAAAATGATCTTTAAAATGTGATGCATGGCCTGATCCAGGAAGGTATTCTTTAATTCTGTTTTTCAGTATTCTTCCGGTCTGTCCGATATAAATTTTATTAACAGCTCTGGTGCAAAAAATATAAAAAATGACTAGACAGAAAAGTCAGTTCTATAGAACTGGGACACTACCAGTGTGGATTTCAAAGGGAGAGATCGACAGTACACCAGATCTTCTGATCAGGAATATGCAGTAAGGAAGTCATGTGTGCTATAATAAAACACATTACTTCTTTGTCCACTTTAAATCAGCCTATTACAAAATTGAACCTGCAAATATTATGAAACTTTTATTATCTTCAGCATTCCTACAGAGCTCATTAGGTTAAGAAGAATAACTGTGAAAATGATTTATTTTATGAAAACCAAGGATCCAGTTGGAAAATTTTTACATCAGATAGAGGAGTGATTCTTCGATATGCCTTCTCTTCCTCTTGCTCTGGAAAAGGCGGTCCGTAATAAACATTTTCAAAGGTCTGACAAAATAATTTAGGGTGCAGCTTCTTGCTTTATCTGAATGTACCTTCTGGAACTGGTAGGCTGCAGCGAAGTTAATGAAATGTAATTTAAATAGAAAATATAGTAACCAAACAGAAAATATAATGTAGTAAAAATAATTTATGGTCTAGTATACGGTAAATAGGAATTGGCGAAGCAGATAATAACAGAAGCGATGAGATCCCGAGAAACCTAATTTTTCGTATACGGAGAACGATGGGTGAGAAGACCTAAATGAATATATTTGGTGGGTGCACAACGATGCTAGAAAAGTCGGAGTTATAAATTTCATGGTGAGTGCGAAAAACAGGAATGCTTGGCGATAGTCGACTCACAAACAGGTTGTAGCGCAATATTAGATAGAGATATATATATTGTTTGAACACATACATATTTTATAATTTTACATGAAAGTGTTAATATTTGAATATTTTAAACTTACCGAATGTGCTGTGCATACTGCAGCAAGGAAAATCAGGTGTGAACACTGCATGTTTGCAAGAACCTGTGTTGTCGATATGTCTTAATGCCAATAGAGGATGACTACTAACTGAACAAGTTTTGGTTCCAACTATATATACCATATTTGGCACAATGGTGAGGATGTGAATCGTTTAAGCATTGTTCATCCGTGGTTAAAGCATAACACATGACCTCATTAGTGTAAAACATATTTAAAATACAAAAATCTCAATAGATTATTTGTTAGCGGTCGACCCCGGAAAAGGCATAATATTTAGATACAAAAAGCTGAAGAAAAGATTTTATCATATCACAGCTTACTATGTTAGCAGATTATTAATAATTTATGGCTAAGATATGAGTTCATTTTTTATCTGAATTTTTTTGGATTATCTAATTGTATTATTTTACAGACAAAATCATGTTACACTATTTGCATCTATAAATATTTTTAATATACATACGTACATACATATGTATGTATATATATTTCTTATAAAAAATTGAAATATTCATCTATTTACAACAAATTTGTTTATTAAAAGCAATAGCAATCCAATCACTAAATATCAATACGTATAATTTATGGTGTTTTTCATACGTTATGGAATGTAACTTTTATCTTAATAAGTGAGTTTGTTAAATATGCTAATTGATGAATCATATATTGTATTGACGTTTCTAATAACTCAAAGGATAAAACCACAAAGATATCCCTATAAAGCCAAATCGAGCTATCTCTGAGAGCTAAGAAATAGTTATCTAGAATGTTCCGACTGGACACAAGACCCATTATCAAGACTTAGGGAACAATAACAGATTTCAACAAGAGGTCTCTGTCTCACAGACTTCATATCAAATATTAAAAATAAGGATGCTAATTCTTAATAGTTAATAACTTCTCTCACGCTTCCTTTGCCGTCCTATTCCGACTTACCTTCACCCCTTTGCTATTCTTGGGTATATAACCCCCATGCTCCTCAGAACAATCATCACTCATGCAGTTACATTCTTGAAGTCACATTCTTGCCAGGGAACTCTTGTAGTCAATCCATACATCCATAGTATTACCCTGCATTTGAAGATGCCATTTGTAACAGACGTTATGAATAAAAATATTACTCATAAAGTCTTCACTGCCTCCGATTCGTTAACTATAGTTACTAAGACGGCATTAGTACTTAATAAGCTAGGTTAAGTGAGAATTATTATCATACTTTCGATGTACGGTTTTCAATGAATATTTACGTTTCCTAGTACAAAATGTACATTTTCAGTCATTTGTATTTGTGTCTATGTCATCTTTCGGGATTAAAATGTCATAGATAGAGATAAGAAAGTTATTTTTGCACTGCAACAGGAAAAAAAGGCGTGAGAAGCAGAGCTTCGTCACCAAGGTTCTATTTACACTTTTTTTTTAATTTAAAAATAATAGATACAGTTGTAAATATCATAATAAATAATAAAAATAATAGAAATGGATTAAATTGTTTCATTGGCGTTAAATAGAGAAATATAAGCTTTGAAAATTATTACCCAATGGTTTATTGTATTCAAATAGTTATAAATTCAATATGTATGGCGTATCCCCTCGAACGACTTTATATAACCCACTCGAAAACATTCATACGCAAAAATTATGACGTTCAAAAAATATTTCTTTTTAAAAAGCTATGTATATAATTATCAAAATATTCATTCCAGAATCGGGACTTCAAGGGTAGGTTTGAGATATAAATAATTTAAAAAATCAACGCCAAAACCAATGAACTGATTTTAATCAAATATGGCCTATGTCTTCTCCTCGAAGAACTTTAAATTTATGTCAATATAAACTTCATCCAAACGAAGATGAAACAAATTACTACGACGTTAACATTGGATATTTAAAAACACAAAAAGTATTTTGTGTAAAGTACACAATAAATAAAAGTATTTACGACCACATTTTATCTGGTCGCCTGGCCATATAGGAATTAAAGGAAATGAAATGGCTGACAGATCAGCAAAGGAAGCTCTTACTCTTCCAGGCCGCGGTAAAGTTTTTTTGACAACATCTGAACTTGCACGACCTCTGAGAGAAACCATATCCCAAGAATGGCAAAGACGGTGGGGCAACAGCGCACCTAGCAAATTAAAAACAATAAAGAAAGAGGTGCAACCGTGGACCAGCTCCAGACGCAGCAGTCGTAGAGAAGAGGTCGTTCTCACGCGACTGAGGATCGGACATACTAGACTGACTCACCTCCACCTCATAACAAAAGATTCTATCCCCCGATGTCAAAAGTGTAACCAATCACTAACTATAAGACATATTTTGGAAGAATGCCCTTTTTACACCGCAAGATTAAAAGATTTTGGAATACCCCAGAATATATCAGCATCCATGGGAAATCAAGAGGAAATCGTTACCAAAGTCATCAAGTTCTTGGATAGTGAAAGACTTAAAAAACACATTTGACAGTCTTTTTTGTATTTATTTTTGTATTTATTAATTTTTATTTTTTTTTTTATCTGTTTATTTTTATTATATTTTCTCTTATTATTATGTATTTATTTTTTCACTTGATTTCATTTCATTTTAAATTCATTTGTTTATTAATCTCAATTCATTGATTCTACTGCTATTTTTTAAAGTTTATTTATTTATACATTTTTTATACATCTTATTATCTATAAATGTCTATTATTATCCTTATTTATTTATTTTATTCTATCAATCCATTTCTTTCTTTATTTTTTTTTTTTAATACCAATCATCCAAATAGTATTAAATGATGTTATTTAGTTCATCGGGCGCTTATGACCTGGATCTTTTGCGCCTAGACATCGAAACAAACAAACAAAAAGTATTTACTTTTTTTATGATATTTTATATGATCATTTAAAAGTATACTAAATTACCTTAAAAAGAAGGAGATGGTCTGGTGTGGCGGTCATAAATAGGCTAAATAGTGGTAAAACTGTTTTATTAGAAACCAAAGTTTCGACCCGACTTTGCAGGTCTTCTTCAGGGCTAGAACTGTCAAGTTACAAAAAGATAGAGAATTGCGGAAGTTACATAATATTTAGACAAAAAATTATAAACAATGTGAATAAGCTTATTAAAATTATAAACTGTAAGTGCATTAAAGTATAAGCAGAGTAAGCTAAGTAACAAGATCCTAAACTGAAGTAAATATATGCTAACAATTGTTTTAGTGTAATATATAATAAATGCAAATGTGAATATACTTCTACAGATCTACCGGAGAGATTGAAAGAAAAAAAAAACTATATAATATGAAATAGTAGACATAATGGAATGTGGAGAAAAAAGAAAAGAAAAAGAAAACCAAAAAATTAAATAAATAAGTAAATAAAATTAGAGACTTAAAGGTGTGTTCAGCTGGGAGTTTCACTTAGAACTGAAAAAAGGGCAAGGGCAGGTATTGGGGAATTCACTGACTTGTTTGGGTAATGGGGAAAAACCTAGAAAATTACAGTATCTATAATTTGAAGATATAGATGGATACATGGAAAAAAATACTATATATATATGAAATATTAAGTTATAAATATATTCATATATATATCAAATGAAATTAAGGCTAATAGAATTAAATAGACTTCTCCAATGGCCCTTGTTTGACCAAATAAGCTGAAATTCGGTATATATAACAAGGAGCTACAGTTCTTTTTTTTTTTTTTTCTATTTATTGAATAATAATACAATCAGCCACTGCTGGAGGGCTATAAGTATTAGGACTAAAAGTTCTCATTCATGCAATATATACAAATAATAAAGAAATAAATACACAGTTCTATTAAACCTTATATAATATTTTTAAATATTTAAAAAAATCATTGAAATTTCCGTATGTAAGAACAATTTTTCACATTTTCTCCAGTTTTAAAATATCACCACAATCTCCACAGCTGCTCTTAATAAAGTTGGGAAGGTTGGATTTTTTTAAAGGTAATTTAGTATATATATATAACTGATGGAAACCACCAGCCCACCTTCCACTGAGAACTTTCGATATACTGCAAATAGTCTATTATTTTCGAAGGAAAATATACAATAAAAATAATAGGTTTTGAACTGTAAAAATAATTAGATAAATTTAAAATACTCTTTGACGGAAAAGTACACCAAACGTTAAAATGCATAATTTTCATGTTCAAAGAAACTAGACAACGACGGAAAGCATCGTCTTAATTTGTTATAATATTATATATTATATTTTAAAGAGTAGCCGTGAAACTTTCAGTTTTATGGAGTGTTCATGTTGTATACAAGTTTGAGCCATTTTTTTTTTTTTTGTAATTATTAATTTGTTCTCCCTTTTTTATATAAATTGTAAACACATATTGGGACATATATTGGCGCTAGCAGCAGTGAATACAATCGTCCAGTTAAGAAGGATCAGGATTACCTAAATACCTTCAGCCAAGATTTACCAGATTTCGCAGCGTTTACAAGCTCCTCTGCACTTTTCAGCATCAGCAGATCAAGTTTTTTCTTTTTGTAACCCTATCTTTCTCCCTCCACGATGAGAGAGGAGGAGTCTGTTTTATGTTTTGTGAAAAGAATTCCCATTCAATATTGGAATTCGTTTTATTTCTTTTAGGAACAATATGGACATCGCTGGAACTGTTGTGATCAGACAGCTACTTCTGATGATTTCGATAGCTTATTTAGTGTATGTCTTATTATATTCTGATTTTTTAGCTTTATAGTATTTTGTCTCTATAACAGTGGTTATTTTTTTTTTTTTTTGCTGTTGCTTCATCCTGAATATTGAATATCTGAATATTCAAGAAAAATCTGTAATATTGGTTAATTAGTTTTAATAATCAAACATAGTTAATCGATCAAGAAAAATTTAAGTTTACTTCACCTCAGGCTTTGAGGTTTTACGTATCCAAATACGTTGAATCAAAAATCGGATAAAAAAAATCCGTCCGTCGAACGCTATTCGCTGCTTTTCTCCAAAACAACCCGAAGGATTGTTTTGAGATTTGTTATCAATGTCAAAGGATATCCCGAGGATGAACCTCAAAACTCAGCATTGTCATCTGCCCTCTTCTTTTAAGATGGCGCCCGAAATACCTGTTTCATCTTAGACTATAGGGCCCAAACGGATGTACCGATTTTAATGAAACTTGGCCTCGATACTCTTCGAATTCAATTTAATGACATAGTTCACCGGAAAATACAATACTTTCCTTTGAAGATTCGGATGGCTGAAAAACCTGTTTCGTATAGCGTGTAGCGCCTAAACCGTTGTACCGATTTTAATGAAATTTAGCTAAACTCTTCTCTTGGATACGCTTTAAATGTATCAATATATCATAATTCACCTAAAAGCAGTTCGAGAAAATGTTATGAGGGGAGGTACAATTAGATTTCCGAACAACAAAGAAGTATACACATTTTGTTATTGACGTTGACGTTATAAACGGCCATTTAAATGTTAATAAAATTTCCTAAAGAACAAAAAAAAAAAAATGTTGAATTCGAACGTTTTCTTGCGATGATATGTTGATCTAAATATTTTACTGCAAAACTGATAATTCTTGTTTTAGTTTTCGATTTTTGAAAAGTCTTACATCAACTGGAACAATCGTGATTGTTGTCTATATTTCTTAGAAAATTACTTATTATGAAACAATTTATTTATGTCCATGTTAAACATTACCTTTTTTTAATTTTCTTCCATATAAAGCTGTTTGGAGATAATAAACTACTGTGTAATAATTTACGGCGTTTTTTTTTTTTTTCAATTTGGCATTGAAGAATATGCATTAACCGACTAAATATTACTCTTAAAATAAATAAACAAAATTACTACAACTAACAAAATAGAACTCCTAACTAGTTTTTGGCAAACTGAAATCAACATATTATGAATGAAAACTAGAGCTAGGTGGTGGGAAGCCAAAAAAATGGCTTTTCTTTTTTTCACAGACCAGATTTTGGCTTCCGCCGTAACTGTGACTGCAGCGAGACTCGTCTTGGTCTCGCATTTGGACAATACTAGTTCCGCAAGGAAAGAGATATATTTACAGTAGTGTTAGGAAAACTCAAGAGCTACAAACTTCCAGTTGTTAATTTATTGTCAGCGAAGATAATGTAAATATTGTTCGAATTATTGTTAATGTAATTTTTTGTTTTTTTATATATATAATTTTATTCTTAACCTTGCCCCAGAATAAACTTCATTTTCCATCAATTGATATATCTAATATGTAAAGTTTCAGAACGTACTAGAAATTGATAAAAAATATTTAATTAATTATTAATGTAGTAAGCGTATGGCATGATTGTATTTTCGATTAGTGTGGAATAATATGAATTGTTACAGTATTCTAAAATTTTCAATTATCCATTTTTTTTTTGTTCAAATATTTGTCTTATTGTTACATTATGAATCCCGCCAAAGTGTAACTACTTTTGGCACATAATAGAGTTTTTATTATTTTGATGCACTTACACTTAAAATGCCCTCGGGCAGTGGAAGGAATTTGTTACATGTATATATTGTATTATTATGTATACTATACATGTAAATTGTTTCAAGAAACATTTTGGAGGGTAAGAAAAAAAAATGATGCACTTACAATGATTAATGCGACCGAATTTCGGAAAGGTTTTCTTCAAAATTTAGCTCCGATAGAAATAATCTTCAACAACATTCCGAAAAACCTATATTATAGGTTCCATTCGGTTTTACGCAATTTCATTGAAGAGTATTTTTATCGGAACTAACTTTCAATGAAAACCTGTAATTGTAATGATAAAAAGAAAAAAAACAGTATTTAAGAAGAGAAATGTTAAAAACGCTATGAGTTGATTAATAAAGTTAAAATTTAAACAATATAAACGACCATTCTTTGAAATCAAAATTCGATCTAAAAAATAATTTCATAATGTTAAAGTGTCCTTTAAGATGTAAGAAGCAATTAATAAAGAAAGTATTTAAATGGGGAACAAGAATGAGGTGTGGTTGGAAAGAATCAGATGGGAGGAAATTCCATAAGGCAGTAGAGCATACACGAATGGAACGATTTAATATTATATTTTAAATTGAATATTAATAAGTTAATATAAGAGTTTTTTTTTTCTAAAATGCTAAGGTTTCCAACTTATATATATATATATATAGATTATATTTTCGGGAAAAAAACTTTTTAACCTGAGAACATTCATTTCATTATTCAAGAATAATGTTTATTTTAGTAATTTATTTATTATTTATATTGTCAGAAATAATTATTTTCTTATAATTGAACAAATCTTCTGAGGCACATTAAGCTATTATATTTTGTTAATATATATATATATATATATATATATATATATATATATATATATATATTAATAAATGATATATCTGCATTTAATGATAGAAGGAAATGATTTGAAAAAAAATATTTACACATTGTTTATATGATATAAATTAAAAATTTTAAATATGATTATTATTTATTTAACTGGATTATTTGTTTATTGATAAATATTACAATCTGTCTCAATTAAGACATTTATAATGGAGTTCTGAGAACACATTCACACCATATTTACAAATTTAAAAAAAAATAAGTTAATAAAAAAATAACCTAACTTTATTTATTAGTACGTTTAATGGTGAATACTCCTATAACTTTTATAGGAGCAGGACAAGCTTTATAATTTTATTTTATTTATTTTATTTTATCTACAATCGCTAACAGATATAAATAATATAATATATTCAGATATTTATTGTTATTAAATAGATTGTGTTGATTAGAAAAAACCTATAACTTCCTTTAAAGATATTTATAAAATTTAATCAATCTTAACATAACCAATATTGCTACTAAACAATTAGTTCCGTGTCCAACTATCAAATTATTTAAAAAGACAAGGTTGCCTGTTCAAATCACGCAGGGTCTCCAATATTACTAGTTGTTTAGTTGATATATATCTTTAAAGAAAGTTATTGATTTTTGCTAATTAACACAATATATTTAATATCAATAAACATCGGAACACATTATATTATTTACATGTGATATCAATTGTTGATAAAATTAAATAAATAAAATAAAATCATATGGGTTGTCCTGCTCCTACATCAGTTTTAGCCAATAGCCTTTGGCGGTATTAAGGAAAAAATGAAGAATAAACTATTAGGAAATCAAAGGAGTTATAAATAAATACAAGATACTCAATAAAGCTTTTAATTCATAATATTATTTTTGTTGAATATAACTACTAAGAAAAATGAAAATATGTTTTATATAATATACCATGAAGATCAAATAAGTCCAGCCTATAACAATGATATTAATTCACAGCTTTTAAACTTATATATCAACTTCATTATTGGTATATTTATAATTTATAAAATACAATATACCCTATCAAATCTATTTAATGAAAACAAAATGTATTTAAATCATTTTTCTTACGTTGGTTTCCTTGCACTTGACAAACTCGTAAGCTGTTTCGCACTTATTTTTTTTCACTGAAAATATCATCATAAAATTAATATTATTTATCATCGAATATATATACATATATATATTCGATATATATATATATATATTCGATATATATTTATACATCGAACTGATTATTCTGTCAATGATAATGTTAATGTTATTTTGCAAATCCGATAGATATAGAAAAATACACATAGATAGATATAGAAATACAGAAAAGAAATGTTAACTACCTGGTATGTCGCATTCATCAACAGCCTTTAAATACTTCTCTCTTAATTCTTCATCTTGTAATGCTTCCTCTAATAGCTTTTTATCCTTTTTAATGTCAATGGATCCATCATCCTTGAACTTTAGAATTGAAAATAGTGAATAAATATCTACTTCCCTTGTTAAATGTTATTAGCATTTTTTATAAGTATAAATGACTGTATGAATAGGATATATTTTGCATATATTGTATGGAGCCGTTGTATAAATATGGAGCCGTTTAATTTCATATATTTCCAACAATTGCTTCATTTAACCAAATATTTTTTAAAAAGTTGTCATATGTTATTAAAAATAAAGCATACTCACCACATCTTTTTTGTCTAATATACAAGCCACAGCGCACTGTAATACAATAAATTAAAAAAGATTAACTAGACTGATTAAAATAAATTAAGTACATAATGTCAATCAGAAAACACGAGTTCAGATCAGCCTGATGCACCTAAATTGCTGCAACAAAGCTTCAAAGAGTAAAAATAATAATAATGGTCCAATCAAACGGCAGTCATTACATAAATATAAAGAGTATTTCCTAGAAAATTGTATACACCCACAGAAAAATGGTCTCTTTTGAAGTAAAACCAATGGAAAATAAAAGTTGTTCGCTTGAAGAAGGAAAATATATGATATATAAAAAAATGAGCTTAAACAATAGATTAGAAAACATAACTGAATAGATTGTAATAGAAACAAAAAGCATTTAGGGCATCTATAATGTAGCTGGTTTATTTATTATAATTAGAAGAATATTGTTACCAATGCCTCAGCCTTTTAAATAGCTACTATCTTCGTATAAAAGACATACCTTTACCAAACCAAGTTAGATAAAACCTCCTTTAAAAAAAAAAAAAAAAAAAAAAATCATTAACATGGTCCACTATTTTTGGTATTTTGAACAATCTTAAAGGCGCTAAATATAAGATTAAATTGTATCGTTGCATTTAATAACTAAAATAAATGAACAAGAAAATGTGAATATAATATTCAGTAAATATTTCCTAAGAAATGATCTACTGAAAATTTCTTTATGATAACTACCGTAATTCAAATTATCTTAATAATTAAAAAGATAAATTAGTTTTTAAAAAACTCTAATTGTGTAAATTATTATCTTTTTTAATATATTTATTATCATTTGACTTTTTTAAAATTTATTTTGTTCTTCATATCGCTAGTAATTATTACTTTTCTTTATTTTAATTGTAGATAATAACACATTAATAAATAAATCGTTTGTCTATTTACCACGACTATAATAGACAATAGAATTTTTGGTCGTGAAAGAAAACTATACCAAATATTTTACTTAGAACATCAGGCATGTAGAACTCGTGTAAATAATTCAAATAAAAAATATTCTTTCTCCATAATACCTTCTTTTGTTGTGGGAAATCTGGGTCTTTGAAATCTATTTAAAAAAAAAAAAAACTTCAGTTCCTTTAAACCTTTAAAGAATAATAAAATTATTTCATTTTACAGAATACAGTACAATATAATTACTCACCCATCTTCTCCATATTGGCGTCAATTCCATGTATTTTTGTGCAAGCTTCCGTAGCTTCTTTAAATGATATAGATAAAACCTGAAAGATTGATTTTAATAGTTACAAAATAAATGAATAAAGCCAAGAAGATAATTTTACAAATATTAACTTTACATAGAACTAGCTAGCTATACCCCATGGTTTCATCAGCGATACAATTTTATCGAACATGCCAGGCTTATACATATAATTAATGCACCCACTGAGAAACATAAAACCATCTGAAATGTATGAGCAAAAACAAAAATGCCAATCACTAAAAAAATAAAAATGAACAAAAAAACTGTTTGGACATAAAACTTCTTCAGTTTGGTAGCTTTATAGTTAATTTTATTGAAGAGAAGTTAGTAGAGGTGTTCGTTAAAATAAATAACAAAGTGAAAATAAATAAATTATATTTATTTTTATTTCGTTCGTTTCGATGTTTCGTCCTAAGTTTCAGGCTTTAATCCGGTCTGTTTTCACGAAAGTTTCCGAGAAACAGCCCGGTAGAAAGAGACCAATAGTTATAATTATTTTTGTACGAACACGGCAGATTTTAAACTATTTAAAGAGAACTAGCAGAACCGAAATATAAATTGTAAAAATGTATATATTTTTTCTCTGCAATCAGATCTAGAAAACTTAACATATGAGAATCGCACTCATGATATTCCAAAGCATATCTCAGTCTTGAGTCTACTCTCATATTATTAATAGTTTTGCACTGCTCATTATTCATTAGTGACCTCAAACAACATTTAAATTCTGTTAAATTGATTGCCTATAGTTTTCTAAATTATGAGGCATTTTTGAGTACTGTTTCTGAAAAAAATTATAACTTAAAATATTTCTGAAAATTCGGGGCTTGAAATATGTTAAAAATTGGTCCAGTTGTTTTCACAGTTATTCTTACGAACGTTAAACAGACCGCAATTCATATGATAATATTAAAAGTCATATTTCATTTCATTGCTCTGTTTCTACTTTTATTTCATTTCATCTTACTTCTCGTTTTCTCTTAGCTGAGTTCATCCGATGACCAGCATTTTTTTGTTTCGGTGGCAATTTCGACAACATCCAAATACAATTCTTTCAATTTAAAATCAGGGTTAAAAATTATCAAATATACTGATAAATTATCCAAGCATGATTACATATATCCTTTACTTTCATTTTACTGGATTATATGGAGGATTTAAATATTTCAAAACCTTCACGGAACAAAACGGGCCATTTTGCAAAAACCGGTCCAGTATTTTTCATGTTAAGCGGTTGCGATAAAAAAAAAAAGCTCTCGTTTTGTAAATATTATTATTTGATTCAAATTGGCTTGTGAGAGCGGCATATATAAAAATTAGAAAAATATTTTTATTATTTCTGAGCAAAAAAAATATTTCAATAGTGTTCATCTTATTACCAGTTCCCTAAACTAGAAATAGGGGACTTAAAGACCGAAAAAGAGTGAAGCGAACTTCTTAGAGACCCGCCCACAGTGTGTAACAAAAAAAGTGGAAGAAAGTTGCTTAAAAATTTTTGATAAAATTCACAATAAGGTAACTGAATTAAAAACTTACAGAATGAACTGATAGTACTCCAGCAGCGAGTAGCAATTGTATGTAGAGCATGTTGATAACAATTGATTTGGTTGATCCTAGTAGTGTAGTGTTGTTACAAGAACGATTTATGTTGAGTCCAGCTATATATGGTTCAGGGTTCAGGATGTGAATCATTCAAACATTGTGTGTCCATTGTTGTAAAATTATGTGAAGATTTTTTAAAAAATTATTTACTAACCACATAATTACCTAATTTGGCTTTGTCAAACACGGAAGTGAGAAAAATATTCACATAATAAAGTTCTCTTTTAAAGAGAAGCGAAAAATAGTGACGAGTTTTGTATATCTTTGTTAATTCTATCAATCCATCTGCTTGTCGGCCTTCCAATCCGTTAAAAATCTTTAACAACGGATCCTATTCATTGGAAAATACGATTTCGAACTTTGATGGTCAACACTGAACTTCAAAAATACGAGAGTGTTTAAAAATACAAACCAAAGAAACTAGTTACTTATATATTTTCTTTCTTCGCTTACGTATTCAATAAAAAATTGATAGAAAATTATTTTTATAAACATAATATTTATGTTTTACAAAATATATAAATATATATCTTCTTAGCATTTTTATTTTTCTGCACTAACAAGCTTTTGTTACTTATGTGTAGTATGAATAGGTTTTCAATATGCACCTAAATCCGCTTTTGCTAATAATATAGGGCTTGTAGTAATATCGATCTCATATATTATTCTGTAGTAGTATCGATTCATGAACAAGAGCGGTCAGTGACCTGTCTTGTGATAATAATTTACACTACGGATATTCGTCAGGTAGTGACAAAATATAGTACACGTTACATTATTACTTGTAATTAATATTATTAATATTATATTATATGATATTATTAATATATTGTAAGAGAATGTATTGCGATCGTGAAAATTTTCAAATTTCAGTTTTCAACGGAAATAGACGTTCTGAAGTCAACTGAGTCTAAATTACAAGTTATAAGTCCCATAAAATGGTCTGTGTGTGTGTGCGTGTGTGTGTGTACGTCTTTGTATGTGCATGTAAACAGTTTAGTTCAAAAAACAAAAGTCCTACGAAACTGAAATAACGAATTTAAGATGGGTGCATATCTGTAATGTCACAGCAAATTTTTGGTCAAAATTTCCTGACCTGAAATGCCACTTTATATCATCGATTTTACACATTTTTACATTATTCTTGGAAACGGTTTTTATTAAACTCGGTATATCAATGTACAATTAAATGGTCTTTAATATCAGCTAGGATTTATAGCTATTGATGTCACTTAACTGGGCTTAAATACCCAATGTTCAATATTTATTCCTCTAAACTATCTTTAATTTGGTTCGTTTTAAATAATTCCTATTGTTAGTACTAACGACAAAAGGCTCAATATAAACGGTGAAAGAATTTTATAATTGAGAAAAGGAGTAAAAATAAATAATGTTTTATTTTGTTGAAAATATATTTTCTAAAATTAGTCCGATTGTATACGTATCGTTGGAGAGTTGAGAATTTTAGAAAGAAACAATACCTAACATACAAAGTCATTATTATAAATAATAATTTCTGAAAATTATATTATTTAACAGAAAACAAGTGCTTTCATGGAAACTAAATAAAATTCTGTGACTAAATGTAAACTTTTAAAATTATTTTAAGATGAAAAAAAGTATAGGTAATCCACTGAATCGAGGCAATAAAATTGTTTAAAACTGATTAATAGTACTGCTGTTTAAGTGAAATCTAAAAATAATTTATGAATGAGAGAAATGCCTGTTCATGATATTTAATACATTTACTGAAGTTTAATAGTTTTAAATCTAATAATATATTGAAATAATTAGATATACACAAGCGATCTATTTATTTCTACCTATTATTTGTCGATTTATTCTAATACGTCATCAATTAAATTTCCTAAAATTAAATTAGTGAATAATTTGAATAGCTGTTGATTCATTGATACTGCATATATTGTTGTTATAAATATAAACCTACATACATACAATGTTTATGTGTATATATTGTAAATTGAACAGCTCGTAACCGTATGTAGGTAAATTTTAAAACAGGAAAAACTACATATTGTAGTTATTGTTTAAAAAAAAAAAGATTAATGTGAAGGCGTTGATGACCTAAGAGTTATAAGTTTTTAAGCAGCAATAAAAAAACAGGAGTAATATAAAATTAATATCTCTTAGTCACGTTAATAAAAACACAAGTTTATGTATTCATAAAAAAATCTCTTAGTTATTTTTTTTTTAATCTAATAAAAGTAAACTGTCTTCATTCATATATCATTTAGTTGCATATTGTCTATTTTAACAAATAAATACATTTAAAGGAATCTTTTAATTCTTGATATTAGCTCCTGTTCTGTTTCTGGCCGAATCTATTGTTTTATGAAGTATTTCTCAGTAAATAATACTGTTACAATATTTTTTAAAAGATTATTTTATGCGAATTTATTATTCATGTTAATATTCCACATAGCGAACAAGGATGTATTTTTATTAATCCGTTTTTAGATTATTTTTTTTTAGAAGTGGTTAAATGTTCTGATTAAATAAATTCATATTATATTATAACAAATACTTTTACAATATTTTTTAAAAGATTATTTTGTGCGAATTTATTATTCATACTAATATTCTACATAGCGAACAACGATATATTTTTATTAATCCGCTTTTAGATTATTTTTTTTAGAAGTGATTAAATGTTCTGATTAAATGAATTCATATTATTTAAAATAAATATTTCTTAAGAATAAAGTTATTTATTGTTGTATAATATTTGAAGAGGCATCTTACATAGAGTTTATTAATTTTCAGTTGACATCATATATATTTAAAAAGTAGGATGTTAAAATACTGCATAATTACGGAGCGATAAAAAAAAAAAAAAAAAACTATACACACAAGTTCCGTGTAAAGGTGCTGTTTAGTTTGTCCGCTAGAGGGCACTCACCCCAGCACAATATAAACGATTAAGTTTCCTAGGATATAAGATAGGGTGCTCTGGAGGCATGCAAGCAACGCCAATCTTGTGAGAACAGGCACGAGATTCGTAAATGGATACTACCTCGAAACTAAATTCCTTGTACGAAAAAAACCATTATTAAATGTGAAATAGCATAATTAATGATATTTGATCTAACTGTTAGTATCTCTCATTTAATGTAATTAACTGTTACTTTTATATAGTAATATAGGACAAGCTCCTAAACATAGCGATGAACTCAATGATGGGTATCGGAAATCTTTCAAGCCGTTCCTAAACTCATGGATGGAATAAAGAATTCAGTGCCTTCTTCTATTGATGGATTTAATCATCGATGGCATTTTGGATCGATAGGTCCGTTGGATGTAACCTTACTATCCCCTCAGTGTTGTTGTGGAATTTCATTTGTGGAATTCAACAATACAATAAGTAAATATTTCCTTATTTATACGTTTTTATGTATTTTGAACCCACCAGGAATGATAACCTTTCGCTGGAATTCAGCTGGTCATTTGTAAATTGAACATAAATCGCTTTTGATCGGTGTTGGGTTCAATCGATTAATAAATTCCTTCGATGAAATCAGCGTTGAGTTTAAGAACATGCTTTTATTGATATTATTTTCTAATTTATTATTTATTACAGGTTTCTAAAAAAAATCTATAAACAGTATCTTACAGATCTTCTGATCTTCCTAACTTTAACAGAACATGCTACATGAATATTGAATAATAACAATATTCTGACCGATCCGGTTGACATATTGAATAAGTTTAAGGGCCACTTTGACAATATTTTAAATACGGGAAATTATGATCTGTGTCCTCCTTCTGAGTACCAGAGTGCTGAACCGTTAATAGAAGGACCAAGTAAAGAGTAAGTTGAAGTAGCTATCGGAAAATTAAATCGATAATATTCCTACTGAACTAATTAAGGCATGCGGAGAAGCTGGAGTTTCTAAAATACATCGGTTGGTTAAAAAGATCTGGGTGAACGGGAAATTACCTGAAGAATGGAAAGAATCTATTCTTATTCCGATTCACAAAAAGGGTCCGAGGACGGATTGTAATAACTATCGAGGAATTTCACTCCTTCCCGTATGTTATAAAATATTCACTTTAATCTTAACCAGTCGAACCACGGAATACGCCGAGGAAATTATCGGAGACTACCAATGCGGATTTAGACGGAATCGTTCGACTATTGATCAAATATTTTCTTTACGGCAAATATTAAAGAAAAAATTGGAGTATAACGGTATTGTTCACCAGCTGTATATAGATTTTAAAAAGGCTTACGATTCTATTGACCGCCAGAAACTGTATTATATTCTAATCAAGCAGGGGATTCCAAAAAAAAACTAGTAAATCTAGTCAGGATGTGCTTGACGGAGACACTCAATAAAGTTAGAATCGGTAATAATTTGTCCGAAAAATTTGAGGTTCGTTCGGGCTTAAAACAGGGGGATTCTCTTTCGCCTGTCCTGTTCAATTTGGCATTAGAACATACCATTAGGGAGGTAATGCGAGCCGAGAAAGGGTTGGATCTGGGCGGGACAACATCCGTGCTGGGCTATGCTGATGATCTGGTACTGTTAAGCGAAGACGTTGAAACTATAAAACTAAATACGACAACGTTAATGAAAGCCGGTAAAGAACTAGGACTCGAAATAAACGTGGATAAAACAAAATATATGGTTAGCTGCAAAAATGGCGATACTACTGGTGATATCGATATAGATGGTAATATGATTGAACAGGTAGATAAATTTAGGTATTTAGGTTCTAAGATAACTAGAAAAAACGAAATTGAAGAAGAGATTAAGGTTAGACTGAAGGCGGGGAATGCTTGTTATTTTTCTATGACAAAACTACTTAGTTCTAGCCTCTTGTCCAGAAACTTAAAAATTAGAATCTATAAAACAATTATCTAGCCTACAGTTCTTTATGGATTCGAAACTTAGCCGCTTACATTAAGGGATGAGCAGCGCCTTAAGGTTTTTGAAAATAAAGTATTGCGTAGAATATTCGGACCGAAGAAGGATGAGTTAACCGGAGAGTTC